CAAGGTTCAAGGATCGTCTGTGCTGTGACCGGAGAACATGGAGGGGCCGGGAAAAGTTACTGCACTATCCGCGCTGCTACGGCCACATTCGAAACAGGACTAGTCTTGACCCCCACCAATAGCCTGCGCACGTCCTACACAAATCTTCCATCCGGGTGGAGTGTAAAGACCGCTGACCACCAGCTCGGATTCTACCTGAGTGATGATTCCTACGTGAAGAAGACGGCGGGATCGATACGAACGCTGAAGGTCGACGTAATCATCATCGAAGAAGCTGCTTATATGCCTCTCAGGACCTTAAGCATGATCCTGGCGGCTGCCCATAGCAGCGGCATGTCGATTAGCAGGGACAACGTCGACAAGGAGGTCATCCTCAAAAAATCCTTCCCCACGTGTTTCGATGTCTTCGCGCGCAAGCGAGACAAAACTATCGAAGACCAGGTGGAGATGGATGACGGCCTCTTGCACATTCTGGCCGCAGGAAACGACAGTGACGAGGCGCAGACTCGAGCCATCGAGAGGTTTGGTGGTGATTGCCCAAAGGCTGACGACCCCAGCCCTTCAGATTTTCACCTCGCGAATCCAAGCGAATGTGCTCGATTCCACGCCTTTCGAGGTTTGCTGGGGTGCAACGAAGCTGGGGACTGGGATGGGCTGGGGTGTCAGACGGTTGTCGGTGCACAATACAGGGACCTCGGGAACCCGGGCAAGGTTCACAAGAATCACACCTACAGCATCACCCGATCCTCGGCAGATGAGGTCGTTGTCGCCAGCGCTTTTGACGGTGCCGTCAGTTTGGAGGAGACATCACTCTGTCGCGCAGAGGCAGAATACTTGTTCGACCCCCCGGGGTCGTGTACCGTACACGCTGTCCAAGGCCGTACTGTGGAAGGGAGGTTGATCATACATCAGGCACGGCATCGTCATGCTGATGTCCACTGGCTGTACACGGCTGTAAGTCGAGCGACCGGACCCTCGAACGTCATGGTCATCGACGACATTCACCGCAGCGAGAGCGACATGTCCGATCGAGAGAGGATATCTTGGGTTTCTCGGAAAGTTTCGAATTACATCTACGCCGACGTTTCGGCAGAGCGTCTTAGCGCAGACGAGGGGGGACAGCACAAACAAGCTCTCGTTGAAGAGCTCCTGAACTCTTACTGGGGTAGATGCAGCCTTTGCTACTGTGAGCTTGTGTGGGCCCTTTACAGTGAACGACAGCCAACTCTCGACCGTCTTGACTGTGCTTTGCCCCACACGATCGGGAATGTGGACGTGAACTGCCTAAAGTGCAGCAGAGCCAGAGGGAACCTAGGTAGAGGGAAGTCGAAAAAGAAGAAGACAAGTTGATTGTACCGTGGTCGCCCCGTAGCTTTTAAACCAAGAAACTCGGGAAATAATATATGTGGTGTAGTAACTAAGCATCAATCATGAACGGTCTTATTTCAAAGTGCGCGATTTGGCTAAAAGAAAACAAAGACCCGGCCCAGGTTCTTCAGGTCTTGAGAACCCTGCATCCAGGCTCGCTCAACAAAAATATCCGGCGAGTAAGGCGAGAATGGATGCAGGTATACGGTCCCGGCCACAACGATGTAACCATCAGGAAGGACATTAAGCGTAAATTGAAAGTCATACAGAGGAAGGCGTCGTCGTTGGCCAAGAACGCCTCAAGGGATTCAAAGACGAAGAATTACTGCTTAAAACAGCTCAAGTTGGCCGAGCGACGCATCGTTTCGTTCGCTAATTTGGATTTGTTTGGCAAATGGGCAGCGCGAAGTACCATTCATTCCCACAAGGAATCTTTCACTGGGCTTGTTGACATCGATGCGCTCCTTCGGAAGGTAGATATACTTCCACCGCATGTTTCCAAGCTAGAGCTCACACCGGAAGGAAAAAGTGTTCCAAGGAAAAGGCGCAGAGAGGCTTTGGAGGCGAAGTGCGAGAAGAGCATCACAGTGAACGCAAGCGATCTTATCGTTCTCATGGGGGCAATCATCAGATACCCCAAAGCACTATACTTCGAATTGGCGTGCGCGTTGTCACTTGTTTCCGGGAGGGGGCTACCTGAGCTTGTCCGTAGCGCTGTCCAATTCTCGCCGAGTGATACCGGCTCTCCCATTGAAGCTTTGGTTGCGCACGATGATTGCGAGGCGTCGACAACATCATCACTCCGGATACCATTATTATGCGAGTATGAACACTTCACAGCCGGTGTCGATCGATTGCGCGGAATGAAAGACACATCCTGCCTAACGCCCGCCGAGGTCAACCATCGATTTCGTAAATCGGCAAACTTGTATGGGAGAAAGCTGCTTCCGGGTGAAGTCGGATTTCGGGTATTCAGCGATTTCAGGACGCTTCACGCAGTGATAAGTTACAAGGTATTCGGGGGTTTGTGATGCACAAACACACAGTTTCACACACACATGCACACACACATCGAAGGAGGATTCTCAAAACCATAACAGCAGTTTTTTTTGGACTATCCCGGTAGAGCCCGTGCACACTGCGCCTACCGGCCTAAAATCTACGCAATGGAAAAATTGATGACGAGATACGTCGTCTACATACATTCGAAGTTGAAATTCTCTCTCTCCCTCGCTCTCTTTACCCCATACCCGGAACAAAAGTGATGGGGTAGGTAACACTATCACAACACCACCCACACATGCCACTGAATTGGTGTTTTTCCTACATTCGAAACGCGGAGAAGAGCGCACACGACTATCTATCGCGAGGACGAATAGGGCAAAAGGTAGTAAAGGAGGATTCCCGAGCCAACACGATGCGCGTAACTCGGGAGAACGGACGCCGGTCAGTTCTTCTTGTTCTTCTTCTTGAGCGCGTTTGCGTTGCTCTGGTTCCGAATGATTACCTTCCCCGCGCGTAGGGGGCCGATCGCGAATGCCGGCACCGTGAAAGGTGGCGTTCTCGTCGTCACGGGGATGGCTCCCTCACTGACGCACACGTTCGGCTTGTTGCTATTATGGACGCGAAGGACCACCCTGCCCTCGTCCAGGCCAAATTTGCCCTTCGCCCTGGTGACGCCGGGGTAGCCTGGGCTGACGTCAATGCCACACAATGGGGGGAGCGGTTCGAGGAGGCTCCCGTCCTCCTTCACCAGGCGTTTGAGTGTCGCTGGGAGTTTGTCCGCCGTAACCTTCACGTGGAGTCCGTAGTACACCTCTCCCGCGCCCTCCGCGCTGAAATCCCTCGTAGCGTTTCCGGCGCCGCTCCAGCCAGCGTTCCCAGTCTGGTTCCCGCCGCGACCACTTCATGCCTGATGAACAGGAGTGACATAATATCCGTTGGTGCACGCGCACCGGGGTGCGGAGGGTGGAGTCCACTGTCCGTGTTAGCACAAGTTCACTCAAAAGGGTAAGCACCGTGTTGTCCTTAAGCTCCGTGTTAGCACGAGTTCACTCAAAAGGGTAAGCACGCTTTGGCGGCGTTCTTCTCCGCGAGAAACTTCATTCACAGGTCCATTGCACGCCTTGCTATCGACATATCAAATGCGCAAGGGAGCTAGGATGCCGAGAGTAAAAGGGGTGCGGGGCACAACGTGATTGCCGAGGAGGCGGCTTGTAATGTGACACAAAACGGAAAACAACAACAGAGGTATTGGTACAGAAGCCCACAACCTACACATACATATTTCAGAAAAACGAGTCACTCACCGCCCACAGAAGCATTCTTGACATGTGTGTGGTCCTCGCCGCACACGCACTTGCCGACCTCGGCACTGATGCACAAGCAGCCGTCGTGGGAGCACGAGTTTGCTGCCCGGAACACGAACAAAAACACGAAGAGAAGGGAAACAGACGATCTTATTGGTGGTGCTTTCAGGACACGGGGCGCGAGGCTCGCGGGGAAAGACAGGGGTGGAAGCTATCCTTCAACAAGCCTGATCCTTCAACAAGCCTGAAACAACAACAACACAAACAGAAACGCCTGCAACGAACACGACGGGCGGGGGGAATAGGCTCAATCCACCCATGCACCAGTTGCTCGCTCTTATGGCATCGCGTTCTGTTCGTTTGCAAAGGATGTAACAAGTCCCGAATCGTCTTACCTCCGATCCTCCCTGGAGTGGCCGAGATCCATGGGACGACGAGTGAAAGCCGGGATGGATGTAATAGCACCAAGTACACGGGGAGAGGAGAGGGTTAGTTCCAGGAAGAATAATTCCACGCAATACAACAACACAAACAGAAACGCCTGCAACGAACAAGACCGGCGGGGGAAATAGGCTCAATTCAACCATGCACCAGTTGCTCGCTCGTAAGGCATCGCGTTCTGTTCGATCGACTGTCAAATTTTCATTCCAAAAGTCAAATAGCACGCTTTGGCGGCATTATAATTTACTCCGCGAGAAACTTCATTCACAGGTCCATTGCACGCCTTGCTATCGACATATCAAATGCACAAGGGAACGGGGATGTCATGCTTGCGTTGGGTGCCTCTCACATAAGGCAACAAGCAAAAAAAATCTGTTCAAATACCCGCATTCGAGACCAAGAGCGGCCGAAAGGATTTCAATGAAACTACGGTACGGAACGGCCCCCATTGGTAGGCGTTCCTTCGTCATGTAGTAGTACACAACTAACACTATTCAATCTTCCTGTACGGACGCGCTGTGACCTGATAATCTGAACTCACACGAGAAAATACTTTGCATCATCCAATCGCTGTTGGCGGTTGGACCTACAGCTTGTTGAAAAACAACAACAACAACAACAACAACAACAACAACAACAACAACAACAACAACAACAACAACAACAACAACAACAACAACAACAACAACAACAACACGCGAAAATAAACTCACCTCCACGGGAGCAATCGTCCGCGTACGTTTCCATGTCTTCCTTCCTCTTCTTGATTGAGTTCTCGCCTGCAACAAACACAACAGGCGGGGGATTAATTTTGCTGAAAACGATGAGCATACACGAAGAAATATTCGCGTCATTCAACCGTTGTGGGCACCTTGCGGTGACTCTCCTGGCCTGTATTGATCGCACGATAACCACCACGCAAACAAGCCAACTTTCAGTAAAACCATGCTGTCCGACGAAAAAAGAGGCCTTGATGCCGAGGGTACAAGACGAGAGGGGCGCACCAAAAAGGCGTGGGGATACATGGGACGAAAGGGCTGTACAATTTCATTCAAAGGGTCAAATCGCACGCCTTGCAAGAGAAGACGGGGGTGGGTCGGCATGGAACGGCCACAGAGGACGGAAATAACAACGATCACAGCAACGACAACAACAACACACAGTGCGAAGGAGTTCAACGAAGCCACACGGTGCCAAAATTTACCTCCTCGTTCCCGCTGTTCGTCAGTAAAGGTCCCCCCGACGTTCTGGTTGAGACCTGCGGACTCCCCGCTCCACACCAGCCCCCCGAGAAATACGAGGGCAAGAATCGCCTCGTGGAGCTCCCTCGACGATCTGTAGGGGTCACGCCTCCTCCACACATGAGTCTCGGTTCCCACCCTGTCGATGGCGTCCCCTCCGACCAGCACTAGCCCCGCCGGGACGTTCCACGCGGGACCGTCGTTCGCCACGCGGCCGTTTACCTGACGAGGCTGCCTCGCGCGGACGGCTGTTGGCGGCTGCTGGAGCCCCCTGGCATACTTTGTGGGTGGCGGCAGACAGCCCCTCGCCAGAGATGAGCAGGCGCAACGCACCGTTGTCCCACTCGTGCCGGTTGACTTTGGCCCGGACGGACCCGCAAAGGGCAGACCCGACGCCCATCTCGGACTCCCACGCCTCGACCATGGCGAGCGTTGTCTCCTTGCACCAAAACTCGTAGGCGTGCACGTAATTCACCTGCCCCCCGTGGTCCTTGCCCTGATCGAAGACCTCGATCCCGCCCTTCTTCATCTCGTTGTCGGTGAAGGGGCGATTGCGCAACTGGTCGAGGGCAAGCACCTGGTTGAGACCGTACTCCCCACACGCTTCCCGAAGGACATCATATATGGACGCATCGCCCCCCATGCCCTTGGCTTTGGCGACTTCCCGCGCGATCTCCCCCATCTTGGCGCGGTTGCTGGCGAACGTGGGGTCATCCATGGCCGCCGTCATCCTCTCGAACACCTCGGTCTGATGGGGTTCCAAAGGAGCATGCGCGACCTACAAATACGCAAGCGGGGAGAGAGGGGGGCGAGCAGGCAGGATAGTGGTTGGCATGTTACGCTTACAAAGAAACGACCGCGACCAAGCGTGGGAGGGGGGCACAACGCGAGAGATAACAGCAAATCCGCAAAGATTGTCGTGTCCGACGGACATAGCGTTAGAAGAGGGCGCCGGACTCCGTGCGCCAGGTTTGGTTTCTCTAGACGGGGGTACCTCGTTAGACATGATGCAAGACTACCGAGCAGACCGCCGGCTAGCCGTAGTGAGGTCAAACGCTATCAATTCGACGACATACATCTCCAATCTTGTCCCGACTACGCTAATCAACATTGACACCTGAGTTCTCTATGGCGCTGACAAAACATGAATCACCACCGTCCCGGTCGATCGGGCGTTGAGATGGGTTTGGGTTGTTGGGTGCTTCCATGGTTGTATGGACAAAGTTACGCGGGTACGGCAGAAACGACATACATTACTCGAAAGGACATGCCATTTTTGCTTGGACAGCACCAAATGGAATGCTGGAAGAGAGTGATGGGGAAGGGGAGGGGGGCAAGGGGACCGCACTCGAAACCATTTCGCACAAAACTGAACTCCTTCCTCCTTGGTTTCTTACATCGAAGCCCGGACTTGGGGGTGTTGTGCGGGCCCACTTGCCCGGTTGATCGTTGGCTGCTCGGGCTTTGCCCTTCCCTCGCGACCTCTCAGGCGTCGGCACATCGCCATCCCCTTTGTCGCCGGCCTGCAAGTTCAGCATGAGAGTTAAGGCTGGATGGTGTTTCGTCCTGGATCATGCTCGCGTGCGTAAGGTCAAGATAATCGCCAACACGGTGGTACAGCAGATCCTAAACATACATACCATTTTACGAAGGCAAAGAGAGATCGTGCGCAGTGATGATATGGGGTGCGGGAGGTGTTCGCAACAGGTGGACACAAAAGTGAAAACCCACGCAAGGCTTGTTTGGTGTTTGAGCGGGAAAATGTGAAATCCTCGCGAATTTGCAGGTATCATATTTTGTTTCAGAAGAAAAAAAGGAATGTAGGTGAACATTGACAGCAGTATATCTGCTGCTGACTGCTGTACAGCTAGGACGTGGCCACTAACCAAGTATTCGGCCGGCGGGAAATAGACGTTAATCAACTAACGCCATCCAATGCCAACTCGGAATGGAACAAGCCCGACCCCATCGAAGCCCCTGATCTAGCCACGTACCCCGAGAATACCCATGGAGTAGAATGACGACGGCGGAGTTGATAGTTCGCCCCGCTCTCCTTCGGCGGCAGGTTCCACTGACGTGGCACTGCTGTTCCAGGGTTTCCAACCACCCGTTCCGTTGCCGGCACTTGGCGATGGTTGCTCGCCCCCGGCACGCAAATGTTCACCGACGTCAGGGAGCCCCCCCCAAACGGGTCTGCGAGGGGCAGGGGCTGGGGCTGGGGCAGGAGTCGGCTCTGGGACAGGGACAGCCTGAATGCACGCGAGGATGTAGTATCAATAAAGTGCTCTGAGGTTGTTACTACCATCGGAGACATTGGTCTCGGTATGGATGTGACAGGGGCCAAAAGTTGCTGCTTGCTACTCTCGCGTGCGAGTACTGCTGTACACGCTAGCAGTCAGTGGATGTGTGTGTGTGGGGGGGGGAGGGGTGGATGCTATATATGGGAAAGACCAACCGGTCTACTAACCGTACGCAATTCTACCGCCACATGTTTACCACAGGCACCGAAGGTCGAGTTAGAGTAGAGNGGTCTACTACCCGTACGCACTTCTACCGCCACATGTTTACCACAGGCACCGAAGGTCGAGTTAGAGTAGAGTAGAGTCATTGACAACTCCGGAATTTGGTACTTTCAGGTGCTCCGAGTCATGTGAGAGAGTGATTTGACTCGGAGTTAACCCTCTTAGAACCCTGCGTTTTTGAAAACAAAATATTGGACCCAAACCACGTTGAACTTAGTTACACAAAAGGATGTGTCAACATTTTGGTCAAGTAAAATGTCGGCATATTCGAGTCTAAAGCTGTAGTTCTGGTGTCGTTCTAACCTACGTAGGGTAGAACCGGTACGGCGTACGGCAGGTTGATTCAGTGTGTGTGAGGGAACGCACAGCAGCAACATGTGGGGGAGAACTCTCATGAATGAATCAGCACCACATACCCGTTTCCTTCTTCTTTCTTCTCATATCTCTAGCACATCCGCAAAGCAGAAGAAGCAAACAGAAGGAAGCATGTATCAAGCTGCATGTTGCCTGTAACTATCTTTGTGTTATTGTTACACTGATGCTGCTGTGTGTGCGATAGAAGCAGCAACAATACATGGTATACAAACGGTGCACGCAAGGACCTGTCCAAGGGATGGAGCACAGGTCAACATGCACGAGCCGTTAAAATACGCACTATGGAGAGCACTCAACGGCCTTCGCGTCAAACACGACGTTGAAAGCGGGGCACCGTTCACGGGTGAAAGAAACCTGAGCATGGACATCGTCATCAGGCCAGGAGCCCTCACGAACGCATCTTCTCCGGGGTACCGCAACAAAGGAATACTCCTCGATGTCACACACGCAGACCCGCAAGCATAGGTACACTTGCGGAACGGCAGCGCGACCAGCGATGGAATCGCAGCCCAAGCATCCGAGGCGCGAAAGCGTCAGCACTACGCTCGTCCGGGACACGTGTCCTTTGACGAACGCAGCTTTAAACTTACCACCTTAGCCGTGGAAAGCTTTGGCCGCCTTGGAGAGGAGGGTTACGAGTTCATCGATGAACTTGCGACACATGCCGTGGGA